GCATGGTGTCGTAAGGGCCACTTGTTTGTACTGACCATAGTGCATCAACGTCCAAGAATAAAAAAAAGTATCTACATATATCTATCTCCCTCGCACTCCCTTTAGCTGAGCTACGATTATAGTCGGGACACGAACCCGAGTACAGCGTTCGCAATCCCTTTAGCTGAGTGACGGGTATTAAATAGTCGGGACACCAACCCGACTATAGCGTTCTCTCTTGTTTATCCTAATTTAATCATAACAAACTTATGTACATGCCAATTTATCGATGTGTGTGTGTTTCATTGCGTTTCTCACATGCAAATGTGACGACTGAAAGTTTATCCCTGCTCTTCCCTTGAAAACCAATCCAAAATTTTTTTAAATCAAAGCAAAAATTCCTTATGCATTTAATGGGTTGGCTACACACTTTGACTTAGAATATTATCCATTAGATAACACTGGTCGACAAAAAAAAAGCCCAAGATTAAAAGCTACCAATCCTGAAAGAATTTTAGCTGTAGATTACTACCTCATACTTGGAAACTTTCCATTACGTCGAAGTTTTGAGAAATCCGTGGTCAAAGTTCAAAATTTTCGATTTTTAGGCACTTTTTGCGACATAATAGTAAGAAAACCCTTCGTAGCCCAGACCCACAATTTACCCACAAGATTGTCCAATCACAAAGTTGGGCGACCTCAACTTTTTTAGCTACAATGGATCAAATAAAAACACCTCTTAACGAGGTAAAAAACTAGTGACGACCGCACCTTCAACATACAAAAGTTCTGATATCAACATTTGTGACGAAAAATTATAACACTCGTCATTAAATAGACTTTCTAATATTTTCTCATTCGGCCCGCCCTAGCAAACTATTCCAGCCTTTTTCCCTTTACAGGCACTTTCTATTGCAGCGTGACGAATGAGAAAAGATTAGAAAGTCTATTTAATGACGAGTGTTATAATTTTTCGTCACAAATGTTGATATCAGAACTTTTGTATGTTGAAGGTGCGGTCGTCACTAGTTTTTTACCTCGTTAAGAGGTGTTTTTATTTGATTGATATCAGAAGTTTTTGTTTGTTTACATTTGCTCTCATAGGAGCTAATATATACATTTAAATTTAAATTGGTCAATCATAATTTTTAAACTATTGTATTTTAACAAATTAAGTTAAAAAGGCGTTGAAGTATTTCAAAATACCTTTTAAACGAGGTATAGCACATGTCTGTACCTTTAGTAGTATAGAACTTACAAACTAACGAAATTTAGCTATTTTTAGCTTTTTCCCGCTAAAGTAGCGGCTTTTTCCAAAAGTCGTAGAACAAAAGATTCCTATATGGAACTCTTAAGTGCAAATTTACAGATTCCATGACCCTAAAATACAGTTCGGATACCCTCCCACAAAATTCAATACTCAGGGAGCGTTAATTGTTTGAGCTGGCAAAAGTGGCTATTTTCGTATAAAAATAACTTTTAAACGTGACTTTTTACAGTAATGTGTTATATACCAAAATTTAAGGAATCTCAAGGGCTATACAGTTTAAAGTTTTCAAGAAAATAGTTAGAGCCGTTTTTGAGAAAAATAAAAAAAAGCTAAAAAAAAAGTTTTAAAAAATTGTCTTTTGTTCATATCTTTTTAATTATTACATTTACATTTTAGCTATTTATAGCTGTTTTCCCGCTAAACTAGCGAGTTTTTCCAAAAGTGGTAGAACAAAAGTTTTTTATATCGATGGGATGAACGTCATATTAAATTTTCAAAACTTAAGAAACATGTTTTGGACAAACTGACAAACTGACAAACAGAATTTAATTTTCATTTTGGGAAGAAGAAGGAAATCTTATTTTGGCTATAACTTTTGAACGGAGCGTCGGACAAATGACCCCTCATTCGACGGGTATTTTCAAAAGGAATACAACTAAAACATTGCGAGGGGGCATTTATCCCCACCGGCCCCAACAGCTCCAAATTTCGAAATTTTCATTTTTTCACTTTCACCGCTCTCTCTCCCAAGCCAATTGATTTTCTTAAAGTCTTGGTATGCAATCCTTTAAGTTATTGCAATACCTTTCGATTGGTGTATCATTCATTATGATCGGACCATCACACTAGATTTTCATTTCTTCGTGTATATATAGTAGTCGCCTTCGCACACTCTCCTGGTGCGCTTCGTCACTACATGGACTGCCGTCCATAGTGATTTTACTGAAGTACTTCTTGTCACTTTTTTTCATCTATAGTAGCCTGATATTTTTAATGTATTGTATGTGTACGGGTCTCAGTTCAACAAGGAAAATATCAGGCTACTATAGATGAAAAAAAGTGACAAAAAGTACTTTAGTAAAATCCATTGTAGCTAAAGAACTAGAGGTCGCCCAACTTTGTGATTGGACACTCTTGAAGTTAAAGGCTCTGGGCTACGAAAGGTTTTCTTACTATTAAGCCGCAAAAAGTGCCTAAAAATCGAAAATTTCGAACTTTGACCACGGATTTCTAAAAACTTCGACGTGTTGGAAAGTTTCCAAGTATAAGGTAGTAATCTACAGCTAAAATTCTTTCAGGTTTTGTAGCGTTTGTTCTTGGGCCAAGAAAAAGCCTTGATTTTGTCGACCTGTATAATCCGTTCTAATATCCAAAGAGTAAAATTTTGATCAGGTATTTCCAAACCAGAAAAAAAACATTGGCCGCCTCCCTTTCTCTTCAAATGACTCTCTCTTTGCTCACTACTCTCTCGCTCTGCTTCTGTTGACGTTCGTGAGTGCTGCGAACTGCCGAAGCATACAAAAAACAAAAACAACGTGCTGCCAAAAATGCCCCCAGCAACCCCCGCAAAAAAAAAATCATATAAATTAAATGTGGGTCAAAAAAAAAAAATTCCTTACTGATTGTATGGCATGGCTCCATACTTTAAACCAAAAACGGATCCGATCGCATAATCGGTGCGGAAAAATTATTTAAGTGCCCCAACCGGAAGTCGTTTGGGGCTCAACTTCTGGGCTTTTTAAGATTTCCTCAAATAAAGCTTAAAATAAAAATATCAACTTGTTTGGTTGAAAACTGTGGGAATGGTTGATGTTTTACTCAAGCAATTTCGCATTTTTGGAGAGTCCTAGGAGTCCTTAGGAGCCGAATTTGAGAAAGTCCTTTCTTAGTGCACAACTCCTCTAACACACGATTCAGACCAAATTTTTTCCAGAATTTTAGGTCTTATGGTTTCGGCTGGGGGAACATGACGCAAATCGACATCTACTCTTTCATAGTAATACTCGAGAAGCGGGTTAACAATAGGGTTTTAAGCGGGTTGCGATTAGCGAGCGGTTGCGGTGGTACAATTCAACTATATGACTGCCGAAAAAACGTGCAGAAAAGATAATAGAAAACAAGAGAGAACGCTATAGTCGGGTTGTTGTCCCGACTATTTAATACCCGTCACTCAGCTAAAGGGAGTGCGAACGCTGTGTCGGGTTGGTGTCCCGACTAATAATCGTAACTCAGCTAAAGGGAGTGCGAGGGAGATAGATATATAATTTTTGATTGCGTATAACTTTTTAATGAATGGTCCGATTTGAAAAATGTCTTCTACATTTCGATAGGTATAAATATAAACAACAAAATTGCATTTATACTTTTTTGAAATCTTTAAAGATGTGGGCGCAGGACCCATTTTAAAATCATTAGTGGGCGATTGTGGGCGTTAGAGGGGGCGTGGCGCTCGGCTAAAATAAACTTGCGCTGCGTAGGAAGCCAAAGAATATGTGTGGGAAATCTCAACCTTCTAGCTTTTGTAGTTTCTGAGATCTCAGCGTTCATACAGACGGACAGACGGACAGACAGACAGACAGACAGACAGACAGACAGACGGACAGACGGACATGGCTAGATCGACTCGGCTAGTGACCCTGATCAAGAATATATATACTTTATGGGGTCGGAAACGCTTCCTTCTAGCTGTTACATACTTTTGCACGAATCTAATATACCCTTTTACTCTACGAGTAACGGGTATAAAAACACATGATATTCCAATACCAATGCAGACCGACTGCATTTTCGGCTAAGCGTGTAAGCTTAAGCTTTTATGTATAATGCAAAAACAATGATGTGCATTTAACTAGGTGCGATTAGGAAACAATACAATGATGAGCATTTAACTAAGTGCGATTAGAAAACAATAATAAACAAGAAAGGAAGTTAACTTCGGCCAGCCGAAGTTTATATACCCTTGCAGGTATACTTACTTAAAATGTTGTTTTTACATTGTCAAAAATCGAAACGCCTACTTTCTACAAAGTTACAAAAGTTTTTGTATTATTTTTTTGATTATTCCTATGGGAGCCATATGATATAGTGGTCCGATCCGGCTCGTTCCGACATATGTACTACCTGCAATAGAAAGAAGACTTTTGGGAAAGTTTTATCGCGTGAGCTATAAAACTGCGGGACTAGTTCGCATAGAAACGGACAGACGGACATGGCTAGTTGGACTCAGCTATTGATGCTGATCAAGAATATATATACTTTATGTGGTCGGAAACGTCTTCTTCACTGCGTTGCAAACATCTGACTGAAATTATAATACCCTCTGCAAAGGTATAATGACCGATCTATTTCTCAACAGGTTTTTAGAAAAGCTTACCGTAAATTCAAGAAAATATTTACCATAATCAATGGCGAGTCGCCGTTGGATAAAATTCACATGCGATTTTCTTGAATCTATGGCGAATTTCTTGAATCAACTGCGATTTTTTTATGAGTGCAGATACTGTTCAATAAAGCAAATCGGCTTTCTCGACTTTTTTAATTTACCTGAACAAGAAACAATTACAGTGTGCTGGTAGTGCTGTTATTCTATCAGCTGTTTGGGTATAAGTCAAAGGCAAATCAGCTGTGATTTGGTTTCTCCCTCTTAGTTGGCTTTGGAAAATCAGCTGTTGTTTTATCAAGCCGAAAACGCTTAGCAGTCCGAGTCCAGAACCAAACCACAAATGTTTAAAACGTATGTTTACGCGTATAGTCAAAAAGCTTGTTTTATTTTATTTAAGTGGGCGTGCAAACTAGTATGTTCTCAAAACTATTAATATTTTTTGCTTAAGTTCTTACGAAGAACTAGGATTTTTAATAGTGGGTAACACAAACATCAAGGAGGTTATCTAATGCATCATCGTTTCGACTGTATTCAGTGCTACTAGTGAGGTAATGAAACTGTTCATCAATGCTGTCCACAAGGGGTCGGAAGTTAGTATAATCATAATTAATTGTAATATTGCATGGATGGCTAGGACTGGATACATCAGATGCTACATTTCGGTCTTCTACGATAGATGAATTCGATGCAAACACAGGGGTCGTATCGGAATAAATGTTTATGTTATTGAATGTGCAAAAATCGTCATCTCCAGAAATCTCCTATAATATATTTATATTTAAATTATCGTTATTCTTTTCATGTATTGTATTAAACTTACCGTGTTGGTATTGTCTATCCTGTGAGAAATAAAGCAGTTTAAGCTTTGAGGCTCTGTTATGAATTCCCCAGTGCTTACAATAATTGTGTCAAGCTTTTTTTGTAAAATATCTTCCTTAATCATTGTTCGTAAGGGACATTTGTCAAATTGAATTTCATTTATCTCAGCCATAGTACCTTTATTTAATGACTCAGTAAAGTTATTTTCCGTGAGCGTTGACATTTTTTTTAAATTATTTTTTTCTGATATTTCCGTCACGCTTTTATTCTTAGTCTTTTTAGCCAATCTTGAAAAGTATGGCTGAGAATTTTTTGATAGCTGATCATTGTGGTATTTAGCGCTCTGATTAAGTTTTGGATGACATAGTTTTCTATTACGAATGCGTTTTCGGTCACTCTTTTTTGGGTCGACACCCAGCTCCCAGTAACCGCCTTTTCCTTTTTCTTCTCTTTTTCGGTTACGAAAGCAGTGATGTAGAGATAAGTTATGCCTTATGGAGTTCTGAATACAAGTTTTTAAATAAATAACGCATTTAACATAGTGCGATTAAAATTTACTTACGTTCCATTTCTTGCGTACTCTAAAGAATGCAAACTTAGCCTCTATCCAAGCGCATAATTGTTGTAAAGTAATGCGACCATTTTTTAGCATAGCCATCCCAATTATATGAGAATAGTTAAAAGGTGGTTTCTCAGTCACGTCGGTTTCATACTTAGTTGCAAACTTTTCGTATTCTGTTAAATCCCTATTAAAATATAAAAGAATATATAAATATTCTAAATGCTCGAGGAAGAAAATAACATTATTACTATATACCTCTTTACTTTGTTGACAAATATTTCAAAGCGTTCAATTGGAGTTGGTCGTTTTGGTGCTGATTTTAGGGCTTTCGATTCCAGGAATATTTGCGATTTTTTAACTGTGTTGCCGCCTCTTGTACAAAGCAGTTTGATTTGGTTCCGATGAAAGTTTGGACTGTAAGGTACGGGTGTTTCGGCATTTGTTCTCGTATTTAATGTTTCCACAGTATTTGAATCAATTGTTTTCGGCCAAGTTAAATTTTGATTTCGCAAAAGCCAATTGAGATTGGTTAGTTCGCGTTCTTCGTCGGAGTCTTCGACTTCTTGAGGAGAAGTGGTCTCTTCTTCATTTGCTTGTTTCACAACGTTGCTCATAGATAATGAAATGTGGCGATCTGTCATCGTCTGTTTTTTCTAATAAAAAATTTAATTATTGAATTTGATATTAGCATGGAAAATTAAATCATGAAAACCGACGACCCAAAATTGATTTTCGATGCCATGTGGTAGCACAGTGCAGCACTAAATATATGTAATCGACGTTTGGTTTTCAAAACCTGCAAGTACATATTAACTCGATTCAAACCGCACATGGCATTCTCTAGCTTAGCTCCCTTTTTGATATTACATATAGGAACCACGTGAAACGTGACAGGCCAGTTTGGGTCAAATCAAATCATTTGCAAGACCTACATACTAGTAAAGACAACGATTTTAGTTTAGCAACTTTGCATCATGCAACAACATTCGCGCTCTCCGGTGCTCGTATTGCTGTTCTCTTCTACACGTTGCGCTGTTGTTGCTTGATGCAAAGTTGCTAAACTAAAATCGTTGTCTTCACTAGTAGGTCTAGCGATTACAAACATTTTATTTTATCACTTTGTTAAGAATTGATGAGACAATATGAGGATAATTTTTTCATTCGGAAACCGCGTGTATTCCGGCGTACAGAATTTTTTAAATTTAAAATTCCCTTAAAAAATACTTCATTAAAAAATTAAAATTTTTTAAAAATATTTTTCTGAAAGATATTAATCTTAATGGGTTCCACAAAGTTGCATACCAAATATTTAAATATCTCAAACGAGTCCCAAGTGCTGCATAACTAAAAAATCAGAGCTTAATTAGAATAATATTTTTAAAAAATAAACGGTAAGAGTTAAAAAAAATAAAAAAAGCGATTCTTTTACAGGGGTGGTCAAAAATATTTTCACAAATTTAAATGTAAACTGTACTCATATTTTGAACTTATAATATAAACTTTTGGCACCTATAAAAAGAGCACTTCAATTCCGTTTAAATGACACAACAATTTTCCTAACCCATTAAGACCCCTTAGAAAAGTGAGCAAATTTGGCGAATGTCAAATTTTCAACTTTTTTCCTGGGGCTTAAAACAAAAATGTTTTGGTGAAAAGTTGTTCCCCAATCAAAATTAATAATAACTGCAAAAAAAAAAATTTCAAAATATTTTTCCTTGTATTTTTTATGAATTTTTGAATAAAGACATCTCAGTAAAATTTGGTATGAAAAGGAGGAAAAAGCGGATAAAATTGTAATTTTTAGCCATTTTCAAAAAATCATAAAAAAAAACAAGGAAAAATATTTTGAAATTTTTTTTGTTTTAAGCCCCAGAAAAAAAATTTGATTGTCAAAAAAATTGTCTAATTTTCTAACTTTTCAAAGGGTGCTTAATATGTAGGTTAAGAACGTTTTTGTGTCATTTAAACGGAATGGAAGTGTTCTTTCCATAGGCGCCAAAATGTTTATATTATAAGTTCAAAATATGAGTACAGTTAACATTTAAATATGTGAAAATTCTTTTGACTAGGTTTGTATTTTAATCCTTTATCGAAAAAAAAAGTTTTGATCGATTCTGAGATTTAACCCAAATGGGCCTGTCACGTTTCACGTGGGTAACCCATACCCGTTACTCAGCCAAAGGAAGTGCGAGAGAGATGGAGACATGCATACAATAAAGCGACTGCTTGCACTGCTTGAATTTAATTTTTTGCACATAACTTTTTAAGGGGTTATATACCTTTTCTTTTTTCAAAAAAACAAAAATTTTGTTTTTGCTGAATCCTAAAGTATATCCTCTAGAGAACATTCCCCCAAATTTTCATAAAGATCCGAATAATAGTTCGATAGGAAAAAAGCGTTTTGTCTGCTCGACTTCAATAGTTGCATATACTCAACGTAAAACTTTGAATGTGATTATCTCAAAGTCGTGTTTTTCCAAAAGTGCCTTCGCTGTGACCACGATTGCACAAGAACTATTTCATCGATCTTCTTCAATTTTTTTTTAAATTATTCCTAACAAGAAAGGAAGCTACCTTCGGCCAGCCGAAGCTTATATACCCTTGTAGATAAAAGAATACTCACTCGGTGCAGTTCCAGGGATTCCAGATTCAGCGTTTCGATTTATTTCAATTTTGTTTTTAAGTAGTCAAGAATCAAAACGCCTACTTCCTACAAAGTTACAATGAATTTTCTTATATTTGTTTGGGAGCCTTAAGATATAGTGGTCCGATGCGGCTGGCTCCGACATATGTACTACCTGCAATAGAAAGAAGACCTTCGGGAAAGTTTCATCGCGATAGCTTTAAAACTGAGAGACTAGTTCGCATAGAAACGGACAGACGGACAGACGGACAGACGGACAGACGGACAGACGGACAGACGGACAGACGGACATGGCTAGATAGACTCGGCTATTGGTGCTGATCAAGAATATATATACTTTATGTGGTCGGAAACGTCTCCTTCACTGCGTTGCAAACATCTGACTGAAATTATAATACCCTCTACAAGGGTATAATGATTGTGCCGAGTTCGTGAACGATTCAGGTTTTATGCGCCAATTTTGATTTCGCAGATCAGAATTTTTTAATCAAATTTTTAGAACTCGAAAGATCAACTTTTTGGAAAAATTGTTACTGTATGCAGAAAAAACCAAATATTCTTGAAAATAATCGTTCACGAACTGGAAATAATACTATACTAATAAAATTTTTTTGGTTTTTTGAATTCAGTTGACCTGCTGGACTTCCATCGTGGTCACCGCAAGCCGCTAAAAAAAAGGGTTCCGAGAGAATTGCCATAACTTCGTAAATTATTCATATTTTTTCAGGAACAAACCCTTGTTGTTTTGATAAAAACATGTATTACACTATGCAGCATTAAAAATTTACCTCGATGGATGCTTTATTTTTGGATTCGTTGCGAATTCCCAAGTTAAACTGCGTTTTTTAAAAAGCAAAAAAGGCAAAAGGACCTCAAAGTTCGAAAAATGCTGAAATTGGCCAACTTTCCGTAGCTCTCCCAAGCAAACGGATTAATGGTTTGATTCGGTGTTAAACTTTTTTTAAAAGATACACTCTTTATCTTTCGAACCCCATACTTAGAATAATTTTAGGGTTTTTACTAAGGGAGAAACCAATTTTAGAAAACATAGTCAAAAAACAGAATAATATTGGTAATATTGTATTGATTATAATTGTATTATTAGACTTATTGGATAAGACAAGTGACAACAACAAACCTTTAAAAACACAGGCCGGCAATACTACTACTATTTTGACCTCAGCTGTATGCTTTTATGTTTTTTGACTATGTTTTCTAAAATTTGTTTCTCCTTTAATAAAAATCCTAAAATTATTCTAAGATCTCGAAAGATAAAGAGTGAGTCTTTTAACAAACTTTAACATCGAATCAAACCATGAAACCGTTTGCCTCTGAGAGCTCCGGAAAGTGGACCAATTTCAGCATTTTTCGAACTTTGAGGTCCTTTTGCTAAGAATCCTTGCGTCGGGGAACTTTTTGGAAAACGCAGTTTAACTTCGGAATTCATAACGAATCCAACAATATAGCATCCATCGGGGCAAATTTAAAAAGCATTAAAAATGCTGCACAGTGTTATCAATAAAAAACAAGAGAGAACGCTATAGTCGGGTTGTTGTCCCGACTATCTAATACCCATCACTCAGCTAAAGGGAGTGCGAACGCTGTGTCGGGTTGGTGTCCCGACTAATAATCGTAACTCAGCTAAAAGGAGTGCGAGGGAGATAGATATATGTGGACAATTTATAAAGCGTATAACTTTTTAATGAATGGTCCGATTTGAAAAATGTCTTCTACATTTCGATAGGTATAAAGATACACAACAAAATTGCATTTATACTTCTCGGAAATCTTTAAAGATGTGGGCGCAGGACCCATTTTAAAATCGTTAGTGGGCGATTGTGGGCGTTAGAGGGGGCGTGGCGCTCGGCTAAAATAAACTTGCGCTGCGTAGGAAGCCAAAGAATATGTGTGGGAAATCTCAACCTTCTAGCTCTTGTAGTTTCTGAGATCTCAGCGTTCATACAGACGGACAGACAGACAGACGGACAGACGGACAGACGGACAGACGGACAGACGGACATGGCTAGATCGACACGGCTAGTGATCCTGATCAAGAATATATATACTTTATGGGGTCGGAAACGCTTCCTTCTAGCTGTTACATACTTTTGCACGAATCTAGTATACCCTTTTACTCTACGAGTAACGGGTATAATAACTTCAGTCTCATAAAATAATTGCTACACACCTGAAAAAAATACAAAGTTCCCTCAATTTTTTCGCTCAAAAAGGTATATAACCCCTTAATAAATGGTTCGGTTTGAAAAATTTCTTCTAGATTTCGATAGGACAACAAAATTGCACTTATTGTTTTTCAAAATCTTTCAAGATGTGTGCGCCAGACACATTTTAAGGTCATTTAAGGCGATTGTGGGCGGGGCGCTCGGCTGAAACAAAGATGCGCTGCCTAGGAACCCCAAGAATTTTCTATCTTATGTAGTTTCCGATATCTGAGCGCTTATACGGACATGGGTAAATTGACTCGTCCAGTGATTCTGATCCAGAATATATATATTTTATACAGGGGTGACACATCGACTATCAGATACCCGTTTTTCGGCTAAAGGGAGTGCGATCTTCTTAACGAATAACTTCTTAACGAATGGTTCGATTTGAAAAATGTCTTCTACATTTCGATAAGTATTGATAAAGACAATAAAACTGCACTTTTACTTTTCCGAAATCTTTAAAGTCCTAGGCGCCAGACACCTTTTAAAATCGTTTAGGGTTATTGTGAGCTTTTGAGGGGCCATGGTCCTCTGCAGAAACAAACTTGCGCTGCGTAGGAAGCCCAAGAATATGTGTGGGAAATCTCAACTAGCTTTTCTAGCTTTTGTAGTTTCCGAGAATCGTTCATACAGACAGACAGACAGATAGGCACAAATACAATATACCCTTTTATATTCTATATTATATATTGATCAGGGTCACTAGCCGAGTCGAGTTTCAGCCGAGCGCCACGCCCCCTCTAACGCCCACAATCGTCCACTAACATTTTTGAAATGTGTCTGGCGCCCCCACCTTTAAAGATTTCCGAGAAGTATAAATGCAATTTTGTTGCGCATATTTATACCTATCGAAATGTAGAAGACATTTTTTAAATCGGACCATTCCTTAAAAAGTTATGTGCAATCAAAATTTTATATATAATCTCCCTCGCATTCCCTTTAGCTGAGTGACGGGTATTAGATAGTCGGGACACCAACCCGACTATAGCGTTCTCTCTTGTTTTTTCTTACAATCGGACAGGTTAGATCGATCGGACAGGTCAAGAGTATACATGTATACTGTATAAAATCGGAACCTTCTGAAAGGGTATACAAACTTTCTTTCCACAATTTTTTCCTTCTTTTTTAATTTTTATCTATAACTATCCATTTTGTGAAAGTGAGACACTTTAGGACACTTTGACCCAAATTAGGGTCACCCGCTTTGCATTCAAAAATGCCTCAAAGTTAAGTTAAGTTAAATTTCCTAGGTATGATACGTCTTTTTTGTAGGCTATAAAAACATTATGTAAGAGAATGTTTGTAGTACGGAACAGGTTCAATTGAACGCCATTTTGATACAACTAATTTATAAAAATTATATGTACATTCATGAGTCATTAATGTGTTCACCTTTATTTATATCATAAATATTATTTTATTATTGATTATATTTTACTTATTTTTATTACTTGGACTAAAGAAATTCCTTTGCCTTCCATTTACTTATCTGTTAGTCGTTATTAATTATATTATTGTGATATATTACTTTTGTTTCTTGCAGAAACCACTTTTTTGTAAAACTCTTTCAGACGGACTGCTTGAAGTGTACTGCACGGCTACTCTCTGTCGTTGCACCTGTATCTCTGGTCTATAAGCAACCCTCATTTTTTTACAATACCAAAAAAATAATTATTGGAAGTTAGGAGAGCTCTCTCTAGACCTTATAGGGTCGAAGTGGTCGACGCTCAGGTGGTCAAACACACACTTGGCCGAACTCGTTTTAGGCTTTAATTTACTCGGCTAGCAGTCTCGAGCCGACGCTTTCCGACCAAACAACAGCCACAAATACCCCGATTTCCAAAAAGGTCAGAGCAACAACCCTATTTTACCATACATTTAATTACCTTTGGGCTGGACATACGTTTTCACTATGTCCACCACGAATCGTCAAATTACTGAACCACAACAAGGTCCTTATTACACCCTTGAGTATACATTTTACCTTTAACTAACTTCGGTAAATGTTTTTAATTTGATAAATTATTAAATAATAAATTTAAATAAAAACTTTGGGTAGAGTATTAACATTGATTTTTAACGGAGCGCACAAAGATATTAAAATTTAATTTCCGATTGATTCAAACGGACTCGATTTTCCAGACCTGTTCCCTTATTTACTTCCGATAGAACTTCGCGGAATTTTTATACCTGCTACTCGTAGAGTAAAGCGCTATATTGAATTCGTGCAAAAGTACAGTAACAGTAGCAGGTAGTAGGTAGCGTTTCTGACGGATGCGTGTCATACCGCCCGGTGTCATAACGCCCGTGGGCCTTATGCCACTTTTGCGAGTGTCATAACGCCCTTTCAATAAGTGTCATTGTGGCCGCGGGCATTGTGTCACTTTAAAAAGTGTCATAACGCCGGAACATCTAAAAAATTTAAATTGCATTTTGACCTGCGCTGCGTAGGAAGCCCAAGAATATGTGTAGGTAATCCCAACTTTCTAGCTTTTGTAGTTTCCGAGATCTCAGCGTTCATATGAACAGACAGACAGATAGACATGGCTAGATCGACTCGGCTAATGATCGGGTCGGAAATGCTTTCTTTTAGCTGTTACATACTTTTGCACGAATATATTATACCCGTTTACTTTACGAGTAACGGGTACATAAAGTATATATGGGACGTTCCATGTCAACCCGGCCACCCCACTTTTTTCCGTTTTTTGTATGGGGACAGTACCACATTGATTGCAAAGCCACTTGCTCCAATAGTTTACCTTATACCTATTTTGTCAATGTTACCACTCTTTCGCCGTATAATCGCGTTGAAAAGAAAACACAAAATCATTTTTATCCTGCGAACGGAAAAACAATTGGCATTGTTCAAAAGCAGAAAAATATGTCTTTCCATTGCCGATTACGAGAAAAAAATAAATTTTTTTATTATTTTTTATTATTAAAAAAGTCGAGAAAGCCGATTTGCTTTATTGAACAGTTTATCTGCACTTTATGAGTGCCAAAAAAAAATCGCCATTGATTCAAGAAATTCGCCATAGATTCAAGAAAATCGCATGTAAATTTTATCCAACGGCGACTTGCCATTGATTATGGTAAATATTTTCTTGAATTTACGGTAAGCTTTTCTAAAAACCTGTTGAGAAATAGATCGGTCATTATACCCTTGCAGAGGGTATAATAATTTCAGTCAGATGTTTGCAACGCAGTGAAGGAGAATTTTCGACCACATAAAGTATATATTTTTTTGATCAGCATCAATAGCCGAGTCCATCTAGTCATGTCCGTCTGTCCGCTTCTATTGGAACTCATCTCTCAGTTTTAAAGCTATCGCGTTGAAACTTTTTCAAAAGTCTTCTTTCTATTGGATGTAGTACATATGTCGGAACGAGATGGATCAGACCACTATGTCTTATGGCTCCCATAGATCTAGATCTGTTATGTTTTATAAAAGAAAATCTTGATTTTGTCGAATATCTGTTCTTTGATTTTTTTTGTAATTTGTTAAGCGTGATTAGCAACTCAAAATCAATCAAAAACAAGAAAGGAAGCTAGCTTCGGCCAGCCGAAGCTTATATACCCTCTCTCAGTTTTAAAGCTATCGCGATGAAACTTTCCCGAAAGTCTTCTTTCTATTGCAGGTAGTACATATGCCGGATCTGACCACTATATCTTAAGGCTCCCATAGGAATATTCAAACAAAAATAAGAAAATTCATTGTAACTTTGTAGGAAGTAGGAGTTTTGATTCTTGACTACTTAAAAACAAATTTTAAATAAATAGAAACGCGGAATCTGGAATCTCTGGAAATGCACCGAGTGAGCATTACTTTATCTGCAAGGGTACATAAGCTTCGGCTGGCCGAAGGTAGCTTCCTTTCTTGTTTTTCTTCATATATTTTGTTGTTTTAAAAATACAATTGTAAATTGTATGTCAACTATTTTTCTGGACTTAGGGCCGTTTTCTCGCCCGTACTTTAATTTGCCTGCCGGGACAACGGAGCGATAAGCAAAAAACGGTTTACTCGTCCTTATTTTAGCGCAGGTAGCGACAAATTTTGTCTCGGTACTTCATTCACCACCATTGGAGCGTTGTTCCACTCTTAATTCGAAAACAGGGGATTCTATATAAATCAAAATTGCTAAAGTCATCCAATTTATTTTAAAAGGAATTTTCCTTACTGAAAACTGAAAAATTATTTTTTTTTAAAGTCCCAAAAAACGACATTTTGAAAAAGAGGTCTGTAAGTTGAGACACTTTTAAAAGTCAATAATACTCACACCAAAAGTACTCCAAACTTTTAAAAACTATTTATTTATTTTAATTTAATCAATTTTAGTTCGTCTTAAATTATTTCCCATCCATTTTTTAAAAAAAACGAATTGTTAGCTAAATTTTACTTTGCAGGACAGACGAGAAAACGGCCTTTAGGGTGTTTAGAGTATTCGACTCATAATCTCTGGTTCGTAAGTTCAAATCCCGCTTTCGCAGATGTTGTTTATTTTTTGTTAAATGTTGATTTTAAGTTTATAGATTTTCCTCTACGAAAATCATTTTTCTGTGGCCTAGTGGTAAGAGTGCTCGTCTCCGATTCGATTCCCAGCAGAGGCAAAAAACCTGATTTGTAAGTTTAAGTATCTGTGAAATGTAAGTGTCTATAAATAACTTCCATATAAATTAATATAATAAATAAAATAAAAAATAAAAATAGTCAAAAAAAAATTTTAAAAAAGAACAATTTTTTGGTTGCGGCCCCGGTTTGATTCCCAGCGGAGGCAAAAAAACTGATTTACAAGTTTAAGTATCTGTGAAATGTAAGTGTCTATAAATAACTTCCATATAAATTAATATAACAAATTAAATAAAAAATAAAAATAGTTTTAAAAAAATTTTAAAAAACAACAATTTTATCGGGTAAAATACTATTTTGTTGTTAATTTACTATTTTATTGATAACAGCCAAACTGCTCCAAAGCAATTGATGGCAAATTCTGTTAGTGTTGGACCCCCAAATCACGAAAATACCACTAATTTTTTTTTCGATGGCACAGTTTTTTTTAAGATTTTTTTAAGTTGAAAATGTTTAATATCGGATTTTTTTCGAATTTCTTCCTATATCTCGTCTAATATCCACCCAATGGGGCCAGTTTTTGTTTCATTTTAAAGTCAATAGATCAGAGCTTAACTTGGCCATACAGATTAATATAATTAAATAAGTTATGGCAGCGCAGCAGCTCGACAAAGATTAAAAATGTGTTTTTTAGTCGACTGTAAGTCGGCTGTATATATCGTAAAAACTCGAAATAAATCCGTTGAAAATCATATTGCGTACAAAAGTTTACATCCCAGCAAATAAAACAAGCCAAGTATGGCCCAAATCCATGAAAAATTGGATTTATGGTGGATTTTTAAAGTTCGGATTTTTCAACTGTTTTCGGTTGACAAAGTTCAAATGTTAGTTTTATCCTAGGCGGCGACATGTTAACAAAAACAAGAAAGGAAGCTACCTTCGGCCAGCCGAAGCTTATATACCCTTGTAGATAAAAGAATACTCACTCGGTGCAGTTCCAGGGATTCCAGATTCAGCGTTTCGATTTATTTCAATTTTGTTTTTAAGTAGTCAAGAATCAAAACGCCTACTTCCTACAAAGTTACAATGAATTTTCTTATATTTGTTTGGGTGCCTTAAGATATAGTGGTCCGATCCGGCTGGCTCCGACATATGTACTACCTGCAATAGAAAGAAGACCTTCGGGAAAGTTTCATCGCGAAAGCTTTAAAACTGAGAGACTAGTTCGCATAGAAACGGACAGACGGACAGACGGACAGACGGACAGACGGACAGACGGACATGGCTAGATAGACTCGGCTATTGGTGCTGATCAAGAATATATATACTTTATGTGGTCGGAAACGTCTCCTTCACTGCGTTGCAAACATCTGACTGAAATTATAATACCCTCTACAAGGGTATAATGAGTGGTGATGACAGCCGGGTCAAAAAATAGCTAAACCAGATATTTAAAAGCTAGAAAATTATAAAAATTAATTTAATTTTTAAAAATTCCTTAAAAAATATAAAATTGCTTGCGTTATGACTGTGAGTATTTTAAATAAGTAATTATTCGTAAAGTAATTAATTTCGTTATTATATTAAATAATTTTTAGCTATTTTCAAAAAATCATAAAAAAAACAACGAAAAATATGTTGAAATTTTTTTTTTTCTGTTATTATTAATTTTGATTGGGAAAAAACTTTGCATCAAAACATTTTTGTTTTAAGCTCCAGAAAAAAAGTTGAAAATTTGACCTTTACAATAAATTTTCTAACTTTTCAAAGGGTGCTTAATGGGTTAAGAACATTGTTGTGTCATTTAAACGGAATTGAAGTGATCTTTCTATATGTGCCAAAATGTTTTTATTATACATATGTTCAAAATATGAGAAGATTTAACTTTAAAATTTGTTGGGGTGGGGGTGGCTTGATCGTAGAAGTTGTGAGGCCCAGGGAAAAATGCGGTTGAAATTCGCGCAGAAATAAGGTCGAAAACAGGGGGAAAGACTTCAGTGTTTTGCGCGACGTGCGGCTGTTTATTTGTACACTTGTAAATCGGTC